AAAACTTATGAAAATTGCCTTACCGTAAATACTGTAATAGTACCCCACTCCCATAATGACGGTGCGGAGTGTTGCGTGGTCTAGCTTTGAACGAGTTTTTCTCGACACTGGTTTATGCTACAATGTTCGTTTTGGTTTCAGAAAATAGCCCTGAATTTCAGCTATTTTTTGATACCAAGAACGCATTTTTTGAAAGTACGGGTGCTTTGAAAACAAATGAAATACTAAAAAACTTTTGCGACTACCCGACTGTACGAGGGGGGTACTATTACAATATTTAAGGTATGGTTGTCTCCGACTTCTTGTCGTACCATAAACTCCGCCAAATAGCTTGAAAGGAAGTGTCTGGCAGTGTTAGATGAGGCAAATTTGAACCTACATGGGTTTCTCTTTGTGGTGCCACTTTTACCACTTGTCGCTATAATTCGCGGTCACCCTGTACCTAAATAGACAATTTAAAAATAAATGCCTAGTTCAAGTATAAAATATCCATATCGTAAATACTGTAATAGTACCCCACTCCCATAATGACGGTGCGGAGTGTTGCGTGGTCTAGCTTTGAACGAGTCTTTCTCAACACTGGTTTATGCTACAATGTTCGTTTTGGTTTCAGAAAATAGCCCTGAATTTCAGCTATTTTTTGATACCAAGAACGCATTTTTTGGAAGTACGGGTGCTTTGGAAAAAATGAAATACTAAAAAACTTTTGCGACTACGCGACTGTACGAGGGTGGTGGGGTACTATTACAGTATTTACGGTAGGTATTAAGTTAATACAGTGTATAGGTTAATGCGGATTAAGCAGTATTTACGGTATGTGCTTTAGAATCCTAAAGTAAAACAAAAATGGAGAACTTTTCGCTAGAGTAAAGTCTGCTGGATTCTCTTTCCCATACATCATTGTTCTCTGTTTTACAGATTGTCTACATCGTCGTCTTGTTTATTTTATTTCTTCTTATCGCTAGCCTATTGGCTATTTATTTGGTCAGATTGATTGATTGAAGCAAAACATTCGTCGACAACTCACATATCGACGATTGAAAAATCTCTTTCACTTTCACTTTCACATTTTTGATTATTAAGGATTGCTTTTCTTCAAGCAGACGCAAAATTACTATTAACTTAAGAGTTAAACACGTTTGTTGTAAAGTTTATTGTAAAGTTTGCTGTAAAGTTTGTTATAAAGTTTGCTGTAAAGTTTGTTATAAAGTTTGCTGTAAAGTTTATTGTAAACTTTATTATAAAGTTTATTGTAAACTTTATTATAAAGTTTATTGTAAACTTTATTATAAAGTTTATTGTAAACTTTATTATAAAGTTTGTTGTAAAGTTTGCTGTAAAGTTTGTTATAAGGTTTGTTGTAAACTTTGTCGCAAAATTTCATTGACATTCAACCTGTTCTACTTCTTCATCCCAATCCAATCCCGTACTACCCTTGTCTTTACTGGTAACTCTTTTGCAAGCTAATTACTAGACTGAGGAAAAAGTCCTGACTCAACTGCGAAAAATTCAATTTTTATGCGCACTTTAATAACAAAAATAACAACAATTATTCCCCAACAACCCACCATTATCTACGACTTTCTGTCATCGATCTGCAAGCTTTCGGATCTGGTCGAAGTACCACTCCTTCGGTTTCGAATCAAAGAACTCTTGGCAAACTTCAGCCTCTTCAAATGACTCGAATCGGCGACCTTTCAGGAAATGTTGCAATGATCGGAAGAGGCCATAGTCGGACGTCCGGATTGTAGACAGGATGCAGCAAAATCTCAACTCTTTCCAGCTCTTCAAACTTGTCTTTGATCTTTTTGGCGGTGTGAGGCTTAGCGTTGTTTTGTTGAAACAGAGCTCGCTTTCGTCTGATCAACCTTGGGTACTTTTTCACTAGCTTGGCGTAAACGCAGTCCAACTGCTGGCAATAGAGCCCACTGCTGGCAATAGAGCTCACTGCTGGCAATAGAGCTCACTGCTGGCGATAGAGCTCACTGCTGGCAATAGAGCTTTGGAACCAACTCAAAGTGCAAGGCTCCTTTTCGCAGCTGAGTCAGAACTTTTTCCTCAACCCAATTAAATTTAATCTCTTTGTTTGTCTATTTTGTAGTATTTTTATTGTTTTCTGAATAAATCCTTTTAATTGTCAACAATGAAATAACTTTCCTTAAATCACAAAAAAAGCTACGAAATGTTTCCAATTTAAAGCAAAAAAACCCAGAGTTTCATTTCGAAAAAACCCAGAGTTTGCTAACGCTTAGAAATAGTCATTTAAAATTAGAGAAAGCCAAGAAAAAGATGAAAATCAAGTGCAGAGAGTTTTTATTCTTCATTGAAAATGGAAATGCAAATGATTTTCAGTTTTACACATCTTATTTGGACGATTTTTCACAGCACAACACAACTTTTACATGTTTAGTGAAAAATCAATAAAACAGCTTAAAAATTTGGTTTCTACAAACATTTCCGATGAAATAATCATTTATTTCGATTAAATAATCACTAAAATCGAGATTTTCACTTAAAATCTTGGAGTTGGAAAAATTTTTTGAGAACCTTTGTGACATTTATAGATGAACTATTGGATTGGCAACTTGAAAATGGCCATCTTTTTATGCACCTTTTTCAAAAACTATTAGGTAAATGCATAAGAAATGCGGATTTCAACATTTTCATAAATTTCCAACGATAGAAACTTGATAGAAATTCCAACGATAGAAACTTGATAGAAATTCCAACGATAGAAACCTGGCGGTTTGTCTCTCAGGCAGTGTCAGACTTGTTTTCAACGCTTCCGAGAGGGAGACGAGACTTTGGAAGATTACGAGCACGATTCGAGGCCAGAAGTCGTGAACGAAGCCAAGCTGATGGACGTTATTCAGGCCGATCCATGATCCAATCTGCTCGAGATCTTGCGAAAATATTCCATTGTGATCATGTCACCATCGAACGCCATCTTTTTTTTTGAATTTACCGTCAAATCGTCAGTTTCTTTTGCACCACCCTAATATTTGCCTCGAATGCAGTGCAAAGCTTTTTGAAAAGGCTGGAAATTTCTGATCGGGAATTACTTCTAGAAATGTTCAGAATTATTTCAGCTTCAAAATACTATAAAACACGGGGGAATTTAGCTTTAACTTTAATTTAGCTTTCATTTAGCTTTCATTTAGCTTTCATTTAGCTTTCATTTAGCTTTCTTTAGCTTTCATTTAGCTTTCATTTAGCTTTCCTTTAGCTTTCCTTTAGCTTTCTTTTAGCTTTCCTTTAGCTTTCATTTAGCTTTCCTTTAGCTTTCATTTAGCTTTCCTTTAGCTTTCTTTTAGCTTTCTTTTAGCTTTCATTTAGCTTTCTTTTAGCTTTCCTTTAGCTTTCATTTAGCTTTCCTTTAGCTTTCCTTTAGCTTTCATTTAGCTTTCCTTTCTTTTTTTTTTTTTTTTTTTTTTTTTTTTTTTTTTTTTTTTTTTTTAGCTTTCATTTAGCTTTCATTTAGCTTTCCTTTAGCTTTCATTTAGAAAATCAATCATTTACGAATGTGTCAATCAATCAATCCTGCAAAACAGAGGCCTTTTTAGATTTTCACAATTTTCTTTTAAATAACAGTTCAATTGTTTCTGTTAGGAGAATTTGAAAAAATACTTAAAATCAGCACATTGTTTTGGATAAAATAGCTTCTATCAAGGCTGATCAGAAAACGCATTTTTGCCTTATTCGCAATGCACCGATTTGCAATGGGCAATTCGAGACGTAACACTCTTTTTAGAACTCTTTGTTTTTAGAAACGTACAGCTTCTAGTGCACTGGTTCAATGGGAAAGTTTGGTGTCTTTTCTTTTTGCAAAAATCCATTGTCTATTCACGATGCTGCAATAAAATTTTATCAAAAAACAGGTGAAATTTCATGAATAAAAGACCCGTTTCAGAAATTTGTTCATCTGGCCAATAGTAATGAGAAAAAGAAGAAAATAAGAAGAAAATGGTAGGGCAAGTCATGAGAAAAAATTGGAATGTCAAAGCAAATTGACAGCTTTGTAAATGATGGGTACTTTTGCATGAAAAAGATCAATTGTTAAGTAAAAGGGGTAGGCTAGTTTCCACAACCTTTTTTTGCGCAACAGGGTTATTTGCGCTACTGGATTATTGGCGCAACTGGATCGTTTGCGCTACTGGGTCGTTTGCGGGTCATAACTTTCTTCTAACTGGACCAATCTTTATGACTTTGGTTTCATTTTGTAGATCTCAATAAGTGCAACAAAATGAAATCAAAGTCATAAGGATTCGCCTACTTAGAAGAAAGTTATGGCTCGCAAACGATCCAGTTGCGCAAATAACCCTGTTGGGTCAAAAAAGTTGCGGAAATTAGCCTACCCCAAGTAAAATGTATCTTTTCAAAAAACTGTGCTTTCTCAACGTGTCAACTTTCAAAAACGATCGTAATCTTGGCTCATATTTGTTAATTTTTGTCTGATTCAAAGACTTTTCAATTAAATTCACAGAGAAAAGGTATTAAACTTAATAAACACTAGAGACAAGACAAGATTACGGTAGTTTTTGAAAGTTGAAGATGTTTTAGAAAGCTGATAGTAAGAGGTTTAGCTGATAGTCGGAGGTTCAGCTGATCATGAGCTTGATTCAGCTGATAGCTTGATTCAGCTGATAGCTTGATTCAGCTGATAGCTTGATTCAGCTGATCATGAGCTTGATTCAGCTGATCATGAGCTTGATTCAGTTGATCATGGGATTGATTCAGTTGATCATGGGATTGATTCAGTTGATCATGGGATTGATTCAGCTGATCATGAGCTTGATTCAGTTGATCATACGCTTGATTCAGTTGATCATACGCTTGATTCAGCTGATCATGAGCTTGATTCAGCTGATCATGAGCTTGATTCAGCTGATCATGAGCTTGATTCAGCTGATCATGAGCTTGATTCAGCTGATCATGAGCTTGATTCAAGTCTTCAAGTATTACAGTACCCACAAAATACCCAAACAGCTAAATCTAGATCATTTCTTCCTTGATCCAGTAAAAGAGAGTACATTTGAGACTTTAGTGACCAAAGAGGAGAATGGTTTAGAAGAATTGGATGAACTGTGCAATTGCTGGGTGGAGATTTCGTCGAGTTTTCGATTCAACGCCTCCTCACTTCCGCAAACCTCTTCACCCAGTGGTGGGCTTGAGTCAGATCGTTGCTGAAAAAGAAGCAATGATTTAAATGCAGAAGCTTAGCTCTAAGAAGCTCTAAGAGTTTATAAAGTTCAAAAATTCTTGAGATTCCTAGTTGCAAAGCTCACCCTTTTCTCGACCCATTCCGTGAACATGGCCGTTTCACAAAGATACGCTAAATAGGGTCTCATTGTTGGATTTGGATGTGCGGTGATGAGTTTTGCTTTTATTTTGTCGCCCCATTCCGTGTTAGCGCCAGCTGATTTATAGTGGCCGAATAGGAGCGCATACCAATGAAGCATTGCCTGGAAATTTGTTTACATTAATCCATTTGCTTTAGTTTAGTTTTTTTTTGGACTTTAGTTTTTTGGAAAGTTTAGACAACGAAGTTTTCAAAGAGTTCAAAGTGTTGAAGTGTCAAACTTAGGAAGCTCTTAGTGAGCTCTTAGTAAGCTCTTAGTCAGCTCTTAGTAAGCTCTTAGTCAGCTCTTAGCAAGCTCTTAGTCAGCTCTTACTAAGCTCTTAGTCAGCTCTTAGTCAGCTCTTAGTAAGTCCAATTCAATTTGAACCCTTTCGTATCCTTTATTACCGCATTTTCTCTAATAGTAGTGCACCCCGAGCCGAGTTGATGACTAGTTTACAGTTCCCAATTCTTCCCAGAAGCTCAACACTCTTCTCCCCCACTAGATCTCATCGTCAGCTACATTTTCCGACCCCACATCGATAGGTACTGATAAGCGGTTCTCGAGATTTCGAGCAATTTAGGCGACGCTCTGGGTGCACTACTATTAGAGAATATCTTTAAACTTGACGGGAATTTGCCACCAAATCAGTTAAACCTTTGTATTCTCATGTCAGACTTACATTTTCAACTTTAACATCAGCTCCCGGCCCAACTCCATTGGCCATTGCACCTTTGAAGCCTTTGATGAGATTGGCGGAGGCTTTCTTTGGAATACCCATCTTTTGCGCGTACGCTTGAGCACTTTGCGTTCGCCAGGCATCTAAATATACAGCTCGTATGAAAGTTTGCTTAAGAAATATTTGATAACAAATATTTTTGATAAACAGTAGAATGCGTTCCTTGCGAGTAATTAATTACTCGAGTAGAATTTGCATTAGTAATTTTTACTCGATAAATCGACGTCACTACGAGTAATCCTCTTAAAGTAAATTGAATATCTTTACATTTGAAGGGAATTTGCCACCAAATCAGTTAAATGGCTGAATAACTTTAAAAAGGAGTCGTATATAAGGAGGCGCTCGTGATTTTTTCGGTTATCGGACATTTGATATGCGCCCCGCTCCTTTTGCCATCGGCAATCAAACTTTGAGCTCAAAGATCTTGGTGTTAAGCTGTCCAATTTAGATATTCTTGGTATCATTGGATGCGCCAAGTCTTTCTCTGTCGATTGGTACAAAAACTATCTAAATTGGACAGCTCAACACCAAGAAATTTGAGCTCAAAGTTGGATTGCCAATGGCAAAGGCAGCGGGGCAAATAAAAGGTTCAACAACCGCTTCTGAATGGTGAATAGCCCAGTCATCGGACATCTGCTAAGCTCTGCCCCTTTGCCATTGGCAATCTAACTTTGAGCTCAAATTTCTTGGTGTTGGGTTGTCGAATTTAAATATTCTTGGTATTATTAGATGCGCTAAGTTCTCTTCTGTCGATTGGTATAAAAACTATTTAAATTAGACAGCCCAACACCAAGAAATTTGGGCTCAAAGTTGGATTGCCAATAGCAAAGAGGCGCGACGTGACACAATCGATTTTTTTGGCGCCAATTTTTTCCCTAAAAGTACGGTAGCTATTCTCAGGTGTGCGTTTTAAAAAAGGCATTCTAGTGCCTTTAAAATACAAGCAGTCAATGAATTTAAAGAGTTAAACTTTTAAAAAATTCACTTTTGAAATTCAATTTTCAAAGTGACTTGTTCAAAGTTCAAAAAACCTTGTTTACCTCGATCTTTGCTGCAATCAAAGTGCTCGGGACGTGGATTGATCAAGCCATTGTCGATGTCCACAAACATGAAATCCATCTGAATCCAATTTTGGGAATTCACCACTTGGATTTCAGGATTTGATTTCAGCCGTTACAAGTACTACGTCATTCCGATCAATCACAACATTTCATACCTGCTTCACAATGGTTTCTAGCATTTCCTTATTTGGAACCTCTTTTCTACTGAAGTTTCTCAATATTTTAGCAAAGTTTTTGGCTCACGAAACCTGAATTTTGTCATTGTTGTCATTGTTGTTCGTGTCGTCAACAATCAGATCGCGAAGTGGCAGAAGATTGCTCCTGGAAACTATTTAAGTTAAGCTAAGTTAAGCTAAGCTAAAACATAACAAAATGATAAGTTAAAACTTGACTCAAAGAATAGATCTACCGTAAATACTGTAATAGTACCCTCTCATAATAACGGTGTGGAGTGTTGCGTAGTCTAGCTTTAAACGAGTTTTTCTCGACACTGGTTTATGCTACAATGTTCGTTTTGGTATCAAAAAATAGCTGAAATTCAGGGCTATTTTTTGATACCTAAGCGCGCATTGTAGCATAAACTAGTGTCGAGAAAAAGGCGTTCAAAGCTAGACACACTAGACGACGCAACACTCCGCACCGTCACTTATAATGACGAGCCATCCTGTAGTGAGGAATGCTGTAGTATCTCGTAATGTAGTTTAGTGTAATCAGGGAATGTAGCGTCTTGTAGTGAGTGTTATTGTAGTGTTGTACTATTGTACTGTTGTACACTTTAGCAAGAGTACTGTAGTACAGACTAGTAGGATCAACTACTATAACTAGGATTAACTAGTAGGATCAACTACTACAACTACAACTTACTACTAGTACAACTTACTGCTAGTAGCTATTTCTGAAGTGACACAAGTAGCCCTGAATTTCAGCTATTTTTTGATACCTAAGCGCGCATTGTAACATAAACCAGTGTCGAGAAAAACTCGTTCAAAGCTAGACTACGTTTTCGCTGAATTTGAGTGCACCAGAAAAGACACAAGAGACAAAAGAAGTTACAAGAATGGAATTGACCAAAAACGGAATCAAATTTCTAGTTATTGTTTCTAGTTATTGATTTGATAAGCTGACTATCTAATTGCAAGAAAAACTTATGAAAATTGCCTTACCGTAAATACTGTAATAGTACCCTCTCATAATGACGGTGCGGAGTGTTGCGTAGTCTAGCTTTAAACGCGTCTTTCTCAACACTGCTTTATGCTACAATGCTCGTTTAGGTATCAAAAAATAGCTGAAATTCAGAGCTATTTTTTGATACCAAAGACGCATTTTTTGGAAGTACGGACGCTTTGAAAAAAATGAAATACTAACTAAAAAAACTTTTGCGACTACGCGACTGTACGAGGGGGTGGGGTACTATTACAGTATTTACGGTAACTTATTTATGGACTTTTTCAGGATCTGCTTTCAAGACTTTAATCTGCTTTTTTTAGCAAAAGCTTATGATGTGAAAGGGTTCCAAAAATTGCCAACCACTATGCACAAAGAGTGATTTATTGAGGGAATGAAATAGATTCAGTACGAGAAATGAAATAGATTCACTACGAAAGGAGGACGAGGCGCCCTAAAATCCATTCCACGACTAGAGCGAATTTAGAAAATTTAGAAATCCGTCGAAAATTAAAGAACAAAATTTTTGGTCTAAGGACACTTGAGGGCTCTCGGGTTTCTCGACTTTTAACGAACGGGAAAAAAGCTTTGATAAAAGCTTTGACAAACCCTTTGAAAAAAGCGTATAGAACAAAAAGTGTTGACTCTTGTCCTCGAGTTTTTACTGAGTTGTGTTCTGTTCATAACTTTAATCAGAACATAATGTTTATAACAAAAGAATAAGCATACATTCATCGCTTTTCCTGACGATTTTGCAGCTAATTAGTTTTGCTTTTGAATTATACAAAATAGAGTTTATAGCTCGCAATAATCAGCTCGCATAATCCTGAGAAAACGAAAATCTTAAAAGACTTGACAGGGAAGAAGAAGAGGAAGAAGAAGAAGAAGAAGAAGAGGAAGAGGAGGAAGAGGAAGAGGAAGAAGAAGAAGAGGAAGAGGAAGAAGGGGAAGAGAAAGAAGAGGAAGAGGAAGAGGGTCTTACTTTTTGAATAGTCAAAAGTAAATCACACGGATCACAGCAGTGGCTACATTCAAGTCTAAAGCCGATTTTAAACTATGAATATGAAGAATACTTTAACCAATAGAAATAATCGTTAAAATTTATTAATAATTAATAAATAAATAGTGGCATGTATTTTATTAATCAAGAGCAAAGCTTTAACTCAATCTAGAATGTCGTAGCAAAAGGTAACCCCTTTTCAAGCACACTTAAAATCAGTGCTAACAAAACCACGTTGACATTTTCGTCTTTTTAAGGAAGAGGCCCCAATTACGTGGACAGGGAAGTGTTAGGAGAAAAGTCAAGAGAGAAGAACATAAAGAAAAGGAAAGGAAAAGAAAAAAGACCTTTGCAAAGGTTGGTCTTGTTTAAGCATTCTGACTTAAATCTCTCACTGAGACGTTTCTTTCTCGGAGAAATTTCAAAGTGAACTTTGTGAATGTTCGGGACGATCTTTGGGAAGAGGCTTTTGTGCGATAAATAAAGAAAATAAAAGAAATAAAGAAATTGGTTTGATCAAAAGTGTTTACTGCTCAAAGCTTTTTGCTCAAAGGCTCAACGGTTCAAAGTTCCAATAACTATCATCATTTCAAAAGTTTCCGAAGCTTTCTGATTGATTAGCAAACCAAGGGACACCTGTCTTCTTTCTCTGTCCGGCAAAATTGCATTTGGAAGAACCTGGTAGGTAATGACTAGCATTTAACAATGACTAGCATTTAGCAATGACTAGCATTTAACAATGACTGAGCTAGCCATTTAACAATGACTAGCTAGCCATTTAACAATGACTAGCTAGCCATTTAACAATGACTTTGTCTTCTGCCACTTTGTCTACCAGTAAGTATCATGTTTTATCAAAAGCTGAAATCAAAAGCTGAAAGAGGAAAATGAATATTCAGATGTTCAGATGGAGAACTAGATTTTAATTGTATGAGTTCATGAGATGTATGAGTTCTAAGTTCATTTTAAGTCTTGCAAAGTTCAGGTAACTTTATGGATTATCATCTCTACTTGATGCACTCAAAAAATGAAGAGAGAAGTCTTCGAAAAATGTAAGACATGGGTAAGAGAAAAGATTTTGAAAGAATGAGCTCCCGTTCAGTCATTCTGACTTAAGCCTAAGACCAAAAACATTTCTTTCACTCTGAACACATAAAGGAAGGAAAGACCCCATAACAATGGAGACATTTCACATCGCAAAACAAATTTTTCTCTTTTAAAGGCATTTCTTTTTGAATTCGAAATGTTTACGCCATTGTTTACTCTATTAAAAAGTTGTTCTAGAGCATTTCCTGTTGATCATTTCCTGCTAGAAAGCTTGGATTCTTTCGAGTTTTTCTAGTGTTTAGGTTAAAGAGAATTTATAGACCAAAATTGGAAAACAAAGAGTTTAACAGCTTGGCAAAGAGCTTAACAGCTTAACAAAGAGCTTAACAGCTTCACAAAGAGCTTAACAGCTTGACAAAGAGCTTAACAACAAAAAAAAGAGCTTACAAGGATCAAAACAGCTTAACAAAGAGCTTAACAGCTCTTACAAAGGCAAAAAGCTTAACAGCTTAACAAAGAGCTTAACAAAGAGCTTAACAGCTTAACAAAGAGCTTAGCAGCTTAACAGCTTAAGAAAGAGCTTAACAGCTTGACAAAGAGCTTAACAGCTTGGCAAAGAGCTTAACGGCTTGACAAAGAGCTTAACAAAGAGCTTAACAGCTTAACAAAGAGCTTAACAGCTTGACCAAGAGCTTAACAGCTTCACAAAGAGCTTAACAGCTTAACCAAGAGCTTAACAGCTTAACAAAGAGCAACTCTCTACCCAAGAAAGAGTTGGTTTTATTTTTTGAAGCTAAAAAACTAGCTTTTAAGTTGAAAAAGGGAAAATATGAAGGTATTTATAAAAATAAAATGAGAAATGATATATAAAACGAAAGTGAGTTAGAACAAAGTGTCTTTGGCTTGAATTAATCCGACTAATAGTAAGAAGTTCGTCTTCAGAATAACAAGGTAAGCTTATCACTGAGTTAGGATCACAAGGTAAGCTTATCACTGAGCTATCAGTAGCCTATTTTACATGACCAAGCATCGATCCTAGCTTGTTATCAGTTTTATAAAATCGCTTTTTATCAGTTTGATTCACAAACCTCAATATTCCCATCAAATATGGAGTTGGATTGTGTGCGAGATCGGTGAGATTATCTGGCACAACGGGGACATAGGTGTGCGGCCAGACAAGCGGCAAAAGGAGCGCCTCGAGACACTGAACCGCTTGTGCCACTTCGCCCACCTGAAATGAGATTAGAAATCAACAGCGAATGAGAAATGCATTTGAGACCGTATTGCTCTAATAGTAGTGCACCGGGCCGAGCCGAGTTAATGGCCATTTTGCGATTTCCAAGCTTTCACAGAAGCTCGACACTCAAATCCCCCACTAGATCTCATCGTCAGCTACATTTTCCGTCCCCACATCGATAGGTTCTGATAAGCGGTTCTCGGGATTTCGAGGAATTTAGGCAAAGCTTATGGTGCACTACTATTAGGGAAAAAACGGTATGTGGAATTTGAACTGCTTTGATCAAATCAAAGTCAAATAGGTCAAATAAGTCAAGTCAAATAGATCAAATAGGTTAAATAACTCAAATCAAAGTCAAATGAGTCAAATGAGTCAAATAGCGTGTATAGCCGCGTAGTCTAACTTTGAATGTCCTGTTCTCCGCGTTGCTTTAAGCTACAGTGTTCGCTTGGGTGTCAAATGATAGCCCTTGATATCTAGTATTTTTTTTGGTACCAAAAGTGTAGTTGAGGAAAATCTAGGAGCTGAGAAAAACATGAATTTCTAAAAAGACTATACTAAAAAGACTAGACTACGACTATACTAAAAAGACTAGAGATAGCGTTCTATTACCAGCAAAAAGCAAAAGGATTGGCGGCAAGTGGGCCTACTAAAACCAAATTTGAAATAGTCAAATAGTCAAATAATCAAATATTGGGTTGGTGAATTGAAAAGTGCCGGCTATTGTCATATGTGACAGTTTGAGCACTTTCTTCAAAAGAAACCCATTTTGGTGTCAATGGGAAAGTTGTAGAGAATCAAAAATTAAGCTTATAGCCAAATTTTCAGAACGATTCAAAAACTGGTTTTCAAGAAATGCGAAATTTACGAATTTTCACAAAACTTGCATTTTAAGCGAAACTACTAAGTGTATCTTTTTGGAAATTTGGCTATAAGCCTAATTTTTGATTCTCTACAACTTTTCTATTGACACCAAAATGGATTTATTTTGAAGAAAGTGCTCAAACTGGGATCTCCAGTCTCCATCTCCAGTCCTCCATTTTTGAGTCTCACACTTGTCTCACACAAAAACCAAAATCCTACAACGAAAGAGGAATCCGCAAATTGCCTGTAAAATGGTCAGAAGTCGTCAATAATAATGGAAATTATTTCGAATGAATTTATGGTTTTAGGTTGAATAAATTTTAGTTCAGAGTCCCGCAGTTTTTAATTCACCAACCTAATAACTCAAATCAAAGCCTATTTTATTGAATATTCTCAAGTTTTCTTCAAAGATCATTAGAATTAAATCATAAAATCAAATTGAATTTGCTAAAACGAAGAATTCAAAGACAATTCTAATGTTTTGGCATTCTTAAATGATTTCAAATCAAATTTAGCTAACAATGAGGATTTTTCTAGACTTTTTATCTACGGAAGCTGAAAAAAAGGCATTCATTTGCATAAGGTTCAACGCCGTAAAAAAGTCGCAACACTTGCAGTCGTAAAACAAACGTCACTCAAAAAGTTTTGAAACATTTTCATAAGCTAATGGGGTAGAAATCTGAGGGGGGTCAGAGAGATCAGGCGAGGATAGCGCTTAGGATAGGCGAGGAGCGGCTATGCGAAATTGAAAATCGAGCTCTGATCAGCTTGTTTATTTAGAAATCTTTGGAATTTGGAATCCTTGGAATTTGGAATCCTTAGAATTTGGAATGCTTGGAATTTGGAAAATTTGGAATTTGGAATCTTTGGAATTTGGAAAATTTGGAATTTGGAATCTTTGGAATTCTATTTAAAATTAGAAAGAATCCTTAGAATAGAACGTAAACAAAATTCCCTAGGCCAATGATAAGCTGTTTATTTCTAATCTAGTTAGCAAATCGGTCAAATGGGCCAAATGGGGCACTCTCCAAAAAGAAAAAATGAATTCAATCCGATTTTAGCAAAGCTTTTTGCAAAGCTTGCTTTATGGTTTGAAAGAAAGAAAAGAAAAATTCGGATTAAGAACACAAAAAACAAGAAATTGTGATGGTCGAGCGGTTTTGAAAGTGGATTGATCAAAGAGTACAATGAGATCAAAGAGTACAATGAGATCAAAGAGTACAATGAGATCAAAGAGTACAATGAGATCAAAGAGTACAATGAGATCTTAATCTTGGGTTCAAAAATTAGCCCTACAGTTAGCAAGTACATTTAAAATAGAGCCAAAACGGTGCAGCATTCGGTAAAGCATTTCACTTACCGTACTCCCAGCGATAAGCACTCGCTGATCGCCGAGCAGAGCCGCGATCACACAAACCACGATTTCCGGCGACATTCGCTGAAAAGTTTTCAAATTTTTGAAGTTTATGGTGTTTAAGTTTTGCTTGAAGTCTTTCGTTTGTTGTTTTTTGTTTTTTTTTCTGTAAGTTTTGAATGGAGACCTTAGAAAAGCATGATTAGAAAAGAAGAAGTTCATTTAAAAGTTCATTTAAAAGTTTAAACCAATTAAACCCGAGTTCATTTGGTAGACTCAATAAAATGAATAGATTCTATCGATTCCCCGACCCCGAAAACCCCTGGGTACAAATTTACAGCTCAATATCTTCTTTTTTTAATCATCTACAATGCAGAAGAGAAATCAGTAAATGACTGGCGAGATGTTCTTTGTGCGCGCGCGTAATCGATAGCTTTCTGGCATACTGCTCTGGTGTAAAGTGCTTTCCTTTTCGAATCTCTAAAGGGCAAGTAACGGTGAGCAACTAAGCCATTTCTTTGGCGTCACTAGTTTTTGAATATCTACGAAAATTTTCGCTTAAATTTAGCTGGACTTTTGCTACAAATTCTATTGGGTTGGTGAATTGAAAACTGCCGGACTTTGAACTAAAATTTATTCAACATAAAACCATCAAATCATTCCAAAAAAATAATTTTCCCCTTTTACAGGCAATTTGGTTTCTTTTTTTTTTTGGAGTTTTTTTTTTTTTTTGAAGAAAAGGGAGAGAAAAAAAAAGACCGAGGAAGTGGTTGTCGGCCGATTTTTTATTTTTTTTAAAAAAAATTTAAATTTTTTAATTTTTTTCTTTTTAAAGAATTTTTGGGGTTTTTTTTTTTTTTTTGTTTTTTTTTTTTTTGGAGAAAGTGAGATTAAAAATGAAGATTGGGGAGTGGGGGGTAGCTGATTTTTTTTTTTATTATAAAAACAATTTGTGTTTAAAAAAAATAGTTAGAGAAAAAAAAAAACCAAATTTAAAAAAAACAATAATAGTTTCGCTTAAAATACAAATTTTTGTGAAGATTTTTCCTTTCTTTTTTAAATTTGGTTTGGGGTTTTTGGGGAAAATTTCTGGAAGTTTTTTTGAAGAAAGTGCTCAAACTGTCACATATGACAATAGCCGGCAGTTTTCAATTCACCAACCCAATACATCCTATTAAAGTATTGTGTTAGCAATAGCAATTAGCAATAGTAATAGAGCTGTTAAATCTCGATATTTAGAATGCTTTGAGTGTATCTTCTCACCTGCATCACCTCCGAAATCCCTCGTTTCCCAATAGCTGTGCCCAAATTTTTGATCTCCAATCGCCGCTTTGTTCCATTGGTGCCCTTTTCAACAACGACAAGACAGGAGCCTGAAGAAAGTTATTGAAGATTATTGAAGATTATTGAATATTATTGAAGATTATCCAATATTATTGAAGATTATTGAAGATTATTGAATATTATTGAAGATTATTGAAGATTATTGAAGATTATTGAATATTATTGAATATTATTGAATATTATTGAATATTATTGAATATTATTGAATATTATTGAAGATTATCCAATATTATTGAAGATTATCCAATACTATTGAAGATTATTGAAATAAGTTATATCCAACACTTGTTTTTAGTTAGATTATAGTCAGAGCAGCTGAAAACCTGTGGGTTTTACGGCTCGCGTGTCGAGAGTAACTCGTTGTCTCACTATTATTGTCTATTGTCAATAAATGTTATTTTATTTTTGTTTTGTTAAATGGGCAGGTCACTATAAAAATTGATTTTTCATGCTTTTATGACTCTCAATATATATAGTTTTCCCTAATACCGTATTTACTCTATTAGTGGGGTCCCCCACTATTTTTTCAATCCCCTTCCAGACGACCCCACTATTAGAGAGGACCCCACTATTAGAGAAATTTAAAAGAACATAAAACCAAAGTTTTAAGTTGAAAAGATATCAATTTTTCTCCGAAATTCTTGAAAAAACAAGTTTGGCTTCATATTTTATTTAGCTTTAACCGTAACAAAACATTAACAAACAGTAAAAGAACTAATCCAAGAGATCAACAATTGATGTATCACTTTCGTTACCAATATTAGAGAGGACCCCACTATTTTTCAACCCCCCTCCAGACGACCCCACTATTAAAGAGGACCCCACTATTAGAGAGGACCCCACTAATAGAGTAAATACGGTATGTCATTAGAAAACAACGTTTTTGTTGTGATGAGAGTTCTTTCTCTTTCGGGCCGAATACCGAATTCTCCTCTTTTTCGTTCCGTTTGCCGTTGGCAATCTACGAATTTTTGCTCGTATCTTAGCCGGATTTCCTTGGAAAAGTTAAATTTGCTTTCATTCGGTTTGAAATCAAATTTTCTATCGAATGAATGCAAAATCAACGTTTTTTAAAACAAACCCAACGTACAAACAAACGTTTAAAACAAGGTACGAGCAAAAATTCGTAGATTGCCAACGGCAAACGGATCGAAAAAGGGGCGGAGTTAACATAGCTGATACTGACGACAGTCAAAACGATAAAATGAAGCCATTACTGAGCAAATGAGGCTTTATTTGCCCCATATGATTAGCCCTATGGAAAATCCATCTTCATTTGCTCATTTGCCGCTCAATATTCGTGTTTTGCTCAATCCTAAGCCTGGCTAAATAAGGGGAAAATATGCAAATTTTTGTGCTTACAAAAACGCTTGAATACGAGTTTTCTTATTTTTAATTCTCTATCTACTGCCAAATTTTCAGCTAAATCGGCCCACGGGGGGCTAAGATTCCGAAGGTGTACATAGAAGCGCCGCGTTTGCATGTCAGACGGACAGACGTTTGATTTTCTTTTTTATATAGTTAGATATTAGATATTCAATAGCATATCCAACAAATAGCCTCACTCACCTCTTTTCTGGGGAAACGGCTGATTGAAGACGGATTTCAGAAAGCATTCCAGTGATTTGCTTGAAGATTTAGCGTACGCGACAGCATTTCTCGCCAAATCCAAGTAGAAATTTGCGCTCTTTATCGGGCTGATCACCACAAAAACACACGGAGAGACGGCTTCTAAAGATTTGATGAAATTCTTAAATTGTTTCAAAGTTTTCTTCAACAAACCATCATTTCGAGTCGGCAAGAATTTAATGCAATAGGCGTTCTTTCTAAATTCTTCTTTTTATTGTATTTTCCAAGCACTGGCACCTTTCAGCGATGTGATTTGTGAGCGCAATGACAAATTCCTCGTCACCTCTCCAAAACTCATTCGGTTCGATCAATGGATTGTGAGAGAAATCGGGAAAGAAAAGCTCCGGCGGTGAGATTGGAGCGGCTAAAAGGGAAAATATTTATTTAATGTGTGTTTGGGATCAATTTTGAATACGAAATGCTTTATCGTACTGCTTTATCGTATCGTTGGCAAAGTTTAGATTCACTTAGTTCAATTTTGGTTAGTTCAATTTTGCTCAATAACTTCATTTCATTTGTACTAGTCTCTTGACAAAGTTGTCATAAAAACAAGACGTAAATTAACATTAGGCCAATAGTGAAACTCTACGTTAAAGTACAATTTTCAATGTAAAACACTCACTTGTCTCCGACGGAAATCGAAAGGTAATGATCGGTTTGAAAGCGCAGCGCGGTGAACAGTTCACATCGTCACTGACTCTTTTCAACTCAACGAGGAAAGCCGATTCGAACAATTGGGGCGCTTTGCGACTAACAAAGGCTTTCACCTAGAAAATTGAAAGAACTAATAATCTAGCCAGGATTGAACCCTTGACCTTGACCTTGACGGGAGTGAATCTCGACTAAGAAACAGGGCTCTTAGCCAGTCGACTATGGCGGCAGATTTGAACCATAGTCGACTCTCTTTATAACGGAATGGAAGAGACCAAAGTTGTCCGTTATATATAGCTTAGCGTAGGCCGGGAGCAAAATTCCATTCAGTTATATAGAGTTCCGTTATAGAGCTTTCCGTTATAGAGAGAGTCGACTGTATCTCATTTACCTGATTGTCGTACAGGGCGAGAGTCCGTCGGCGCACGAGTCGCGCCCTTGTCAAACGTCTTTCCAAAGAGCCAGAACCAGGAAGATCCTGAATTTGAAGAAATCAAATTGAATCAAGAATTGAATCAAGAATCAAGAATCAAGAATTTCAAATTCTAGGCCAAATTTAAGCTCATATAATTCATCGACAAAGCTAGCGATTGAAAGAATCAAAAGAAGAGTGGTTATATGCTCTTTTGATCCATTGCAACTGTAAATTTCGAAACAAATTGACTCATAAATGAAAAAGAATGATTGACTAAAGGTTGATACCTAATTAAAAGTACAAATTTCTCATAGTTTTGTTAGTTTGTACAGATACTAACTATTCAATGAAAGAAAAAAGATTTAAATGAAAAAGCTGAATAAATTCCAACACTTGTACTAGGCATGAATTTAAAATTTTCAAAAAAAGGCTTTCAAAAGGCTCAACTTCAAATATTTTAAGAGTAAAAAGAAATAAATTGTATTTTTTAAGAGCTTTCTTTACATTATTGCTACAAGATAATGCTCGAATCAAAATCGAATCAAAATCTAACAAAAAGATTAGATTTTAAGACTAGGAAAAGATAAAAGATCAAGAAAATTGATGATCAAAGTAAAATAAAACTCTAAAAGAATGGAATTCAAACTTTGGATCTTAAATTAAATGTAAAATCAATTCAAAGTTGTACTTTTCTTTATTCAGTGATTATTTCATTGCCAGTGATGAAGAAAAAAAAAGAAGATCAACAAATCCAATGACTTTTTCTGTAAAAACTACCAAAATCACGTTAGCTTTGGTAATTCCTTTTAGAGAGGCCAGTGAAGAAGAAAAAAAGAAATAAAAAAGAAAAAGAGATAGGAAATGGATGGATGAAAAGACAAAAAAAGATGACTCAAATCCCATCGAAGAACACAAAAGCGAGAGATCGGAAAAAGAAAGGGGGAAAGGCAATAATAAAGATTGGAATGGATTGGACCGAGAAAGGACGAAAAAGAACAAATAGAAAAGGAGATCGATTCATTCATTCACATTCACATCAACTGGAACAAGCATTTTTGAAAATGAATCATCGATAAAGTCACCTTCTTTGACACAAAAAAAATGATGAATCGAGAATAGTAGTTGCCACATTGGGGAATGGTTTGATCGTTTAAGAAAAGTTCTTGGCATCATTGGATTGGCATCATTGGATTGGCATCATTGGATTGGCATCATTGGATTGGCATCATTGGATTGGCATCATTGGATTGGCATCATTGGATTGGCATCATTGGATTGGCATCATTGGATTGGCATCATTGGATTGGCATCATTGGATTGGCATCATTGGATTGGCATCATTGGATTGGCATCATTGGATTGGCATCATTGGATTGGCATCATTGGATTGGCATCATTGGATTGGCATCATTGGATTGGCATCATTGGATTGGCATCATTGGATTGGCATCATTGGATTGGCATCATTGGATTGGCATCATTGGATTGGCATCATTGGATTGGCATCATTGGATTGGCATCATTGGAATGGCATCATTAGCTTGGCATCATTGGATTGGCATCATTGGATTGGCATCATTGGATTGGCATCATTGGATTGGCATCATTGGATTGGCATCATTGGATTGGCATCATTAGCTTGGCATCATTGGATTGGCATCATTGGATTGGCATCATTGGATTGGCATCATTGGATCGGCATCATTAGCTTGGCATCATTAGCTTGGCATCATTAGCTTGGCATCATTAGCTTGGCATCATTAGCTTGGCATCATTAGCTTGGCATCATTAGCTTGGCATCATTAGCTTGGCATCATTAGCTTGGCACCATTCCTCTCCAGCTTCAGCAGCTAGTGTCCTCTTCAAAGCGTCCTCCTTTAGCTTGAATACATCGTTTAATCGTTTCGGAGAGTCATTCATGGCCTTTTTGATGACCATCATACCAATGTCGTCCCAAGCTTTCTCCAAATCCTTCTTCAAAAGCTGAATTGATGTGTGAGGCTTGCAGAAAGTCTTGGACTGCAAGATCGACCAAATGCTGTGATCCAAAACATTAAAATCCGGCGAGTTGGATGACCATTCTGACCGAGTTGGATGATTTTGCGCGCTTATGTCAACTGTGATCTCGGGTTTCTTTGGATTCGTTGAAAGATCCTTCGACGATTCATTGGATTGTTGGCAATCTTCTTTCGGCCCCCCCTGATCGATGTGATCCCATCAGAAAATTCCTTTGCAATCCAATCTTGCGTTTCGTTTCGTTTCGTTTAAGTAATGTCCGATTACATCTTTTCGTGCGTTCATTCCGTGTTTGTTGAGAATTCGGTACACTGAGATTCCAATTGCAGCATTCCATCTTTCAGCTGGAGTTTTTCTGTGATCTCGGGTTTCTTTGAATTCGTTGAAAGATCCTTCGACGATTCATTAGATTATTGGCAATCTTCTTTCGGCCGCCTCCTGATCGATCTTCCAATTTCCGAGTCTCTTTGTGGTGCTTGATTGCTTTTGAAACTGTCTGGTGAAGCACGTGGAAAAGCCGCGAAATCTCCATCACCGATTTGCCATCCTATGAGAGTCAAACCATGGCTAGTCACAAATCGAATTGTGATTTCATCCTGAAATACAATAAATAAAGACAATAAAAAAGAATTTGAGTCATAAGTAAGAAAAAGAACGTGATAAAACGATAAAACTGTCAAAATAGGATCCGCTCCATAATTTTCGGACACCTTGTACTGATAATACTGATAATAAACAGAAAGAATGTCACTAGATCTAGTTGAAAAATTTCAAAGTTTCTTTGTTTTCCTGGCTCAACATTTTAACTCAGAATATGGGGTTGAACGAAAAGGTGATTGTAAGACTTTTTGGAATGCTTAAGAAGAGCTACACTTCAATAAAATAGAAAGCTTTAGTCTAATATACATGATATTTCAAAAGTTTATGCCAAAAAAGTACTGCTTTAATGAAAAATATAATCTATTAGATTGACAAACAAATCTTTTCGTTCCTTTTCATAATTTCGTTGAAAAATAACAAATATGGGAGTGGGACAAATGCGACCTTTTTTTTGCGCACCTGGACATTTGCGCACCTTTTTTTTTGCTAGAAAAGGCCTTAGGAAAGGTCGTAGAGCTTCAAAAAGTTTTCATAGAAGGGAATCGTATGCGTAGATTCCGAATTTCGACAAATCAGATTTCGCTGACACGTCAAATTTGGACTAAAAGGCAAAAACTACGCAACTTAACGCTTTTCCGCATTTTTTGCCCTTTAGCCCAAATTTGACGTGTCAGCGAGGTCTGATTTGTCGAAATTCGGAATCTACGCATACGATTTCCTTATATGGAAGTATTTTCGAAATATTTTCGAAGCTCTACGGCCTTGCCTAAGGCCTTTTCCAGCAAAAAAAAGGTGCGCAAATGTCCAGGTGCGCAAAAAAAGGTCGCATTTGTCCCACCCCCACAAATATTCACCAATTAACCAACTAACAATTACATCCCCCTCGTACAGTCGCGTAGTCGCAAAAGTTTTTTAGTATTTCATTTTTTCAAAGCGCCCGTACTTTCAAAAATGTGTCTTTGGTATCAAAAAATAGCTGAAATTCAGGGCTATTTTTTGATATTTAAGCGCGCATTGTAGCATAAACTAGTGTCGAGAAAAACTCGTTCAAAGCTAGACTACGCAACACTCCGCACCGTCATTATGGGAGTGGGGTACTATTACAGTATTTACGATATGATTTCCTCTAAATAAAAAGTGCTTATTGTTCATTTTCCAATCTTTTTAAGTCAATTTCCGGTCACTTTCGGTGCAAAGTCGACACTGGAAACGTGTTTTTCATAAAAAATCTATAAATACCTCTACGAAGAGATTGACTAAAGCAATTTCTCTGAAAATTTAGCTATATACCAAACTTTTTGTCCTCTCTCTTTTATCTATTGGCACGAAGATAGATTTCTTTAGCTGAAAGTGTCTAAACCGGTACATCGAGCCGTATTTTTGACTATCTGACTTCACACCCACAACAAAATCCAGGCATAAGACATTTTACATCCGTTTTAATGTTATTTTGCAGAAAAATAATTGGCTTTTCTAATGAAATAAGTGTTCAATTGGTGCGTTGCCCAATTGGTGCATTTGTTTGTTTTAAACGAAATTACGAAAAGGAATGAAAAGACTTTCTCGACAACTTGAAAGTCAAAAAGTCTTTCATCAAAAAGTCAAAAAAAAATCCTACAAACCTCAGCGTCAGATGAGAGCTCTTGTTTGACAACAGCTTGAGGCGCTTCTTGTAAAGGTTCGCGTTGAGATTTCCTGAAACGAAAGACATTTAGAAAGGCTTTTAGAAGACACTTAGAAAGACTTTTAGAAAGACAACCATTAGAAAATGGTGATGTGAGCCAATAAATGTCGATTTGCAAGTTGGGAAAAGTGGTTGTCTTTTGCTTTCTTTTAAAAGAAATGTCCTCGTTTTTCGAGGCTTTTTATGGCGACCAGAAAAAAATGGAAATGGAAAAGGGGAACTGTGTGGGGAAAGGACAGGATTTTGGGTTGAACTTGAGGATTCAAAAATTTGGCAAAACAAAGGGTCACAGATTACGCAAAGTATAACTATTTGAATTAATAGATTTCTAATCAAATAACAAACCTTTAAACGGTTAGAAAATAAGAAATTTGATGAAAGAATTCGGTGTCTAATCTCCTTATCATTTTTTAGCGTTCGTTTAGGGATTGATAGGTGAAAGAAAGAGTCTTTTTTGTGTCTGCATTGTCTCTAAAATTCCCCTCTCTGACTCATCGCTTCTGATTACTCACAAATTTTCGTTTTTCTAAGCTAACAAAATGTTTTCATAAGCTAAAAAATGTTTTCATAAGGAGAGGAGAGGAGAGGTTCTTTCGTTTTAGAAATTCCAGCCACCTCCAATAAGTTTGTTTATAACTCTTTTCCAATAAGAACTGCCAGAATTTGGATTTGGAATTTGGAATTTGGAATCGACTCTCCAGAGTTTTGAGAGAGTCCAATAGTCTCGAAACCTTTCAATTCTCTGTAGATTATCTTGATCTTGAAGCTCTAGTGGATCCTTGACGTTATCTGTGGTGCCCATATATTCTTGATGATCTTGAAGCTCTAGTGGATCCTTGACGTTACCTCTACTACCCATATATTCCATATATTATATCGTGTTTCTTTTTATCGGCCCTTTTCGCGTTATGTGTATGAATTCATGTGTTTTAAACTTAAATCTAGCGCACTTTATCTCAGGTCCTGAATAAAGTATCTATATATATATATATAAGCTAAAAAATGTTTTCATAAGCTAAAAATCTTTTCATAAACTTTAAAACCTTAAAGCTTATTGATAAAGTTAGCTTCGCATGATTTTGGATCAATAAATGATTAGAAAAAAGTTGCTATTTTACTTAGTTTTGTAGATTTTTACAGGGATGATTGGCTAGTATCGGTTTTAAATGCAAATTTTATGAGATATAGCTAAAAATCATTATTTCTACATCATTATTAAAAATCCAGTGACTGACTAAGGGTAAGAGAGATTTGTATTGATAGATTCATAGGATTTTTTTGATTGAAAAGTTTCAATTGATTTTGGATCTTAAAGATCAAAGCTTAAAAGATCTTAAAAGCCTAAAAGATCTTAAAAGCTTCTTAAAGATTCATTTTGGCATTTAAAAAACATAAGAAAAGCTGTAGAAAAGTTACGGTTAGCTACGGTTAGCTATATTTCTTTGTGAAATTGAGTAAGAAAAAGAAAAAGAGTAAGAAAAGATGTAGAAAAGATGTAGAAAAGCTATGGTTAACTAGGCTGGTTAACTAGGCTGGTTAACTAGGCTGGTTCACTAGGCTGGTTAACTAGTCTGGTTCACTAGGCTGGTTAACTAGGCTGGTTAACTAGGCTGGTTAACTAGGCTGGTTCACTAGGCTGGTTCACTAGGCTGGTTAACTAGGCTGGTTAACTAGGCTTTTGGCCTTTAGAAAGCCTTTAGATTATTAGAAGAAGGCGTAGAGTACAGCCGTAGACTATTAAAGCCTTTAGATTAGACCTAGAAAGTCTAGAAAGCCTAGAAAGCCCTTAGATTATTAGAAGAAAGCGTAGAATAAAGCCTTTAGATTAGACCTAGAAAGCCTAGAAAGCCTAGAAAGCCTAGAAAGCCTTTAGATTATTAGAAGAAAGCATAAAAAGGAGAGCGTAGTAGATTATTAAAGCCTTTAGATTAGACCCAAAAGAGTAAAGCCTTTAGATTATTAGAAGAAAGTGTAGAGTACAGCTGTAGACTATTAAAGCCTTTATTAAAGAATACCTGTCCTCCGTTGACTCATCTTTTATCTCATGTGAACAGCAATTTGATGAACATTCAGCAATTTGATTATCTAATTCCCCGCTATTGTCAGAATTTTCCGGAATATCGACTGGTTTTTCCATAAAAATTACATTCAATAGCCAATCGTTGAGTCTCTTTTTCAGTGGTGGTTTCAATCGCTTTTTGTCATGAGCGAGCTCTGTTTGCTCAGAGAGAATCCATGAGAGAAAAATGAAAAAAAAGCAGGTTCAGTTCATTGGATTTCAGTTCAAATTTCTCCAAACTAACGAAAATACCAGGTCAAATTGTGGCAACAAAAAGGATTTGAGGATTTGTTTAGGGTTGAGTCAGTAAAGGAGATTCATTTTGGATCATTTTGGAGACTCATTCGATGATCTTTAGGATTTCGTTGCTTAATGAGAGTCATTCTATGAACAGCTGTTGTAAATAGAACATGAATGGATCATTTTGGATTTCGGGGTGGCTACTTTGTGCCAAATTTTTTGTTGCAAAGAGTTTTTGCAAGGAATTGACTAGCTGTAAATCTGTTTTAAGGCTATTTTCAAGTCAAATGCGAGCAGAGTGCTTGGATCGATCAATTGTATTCACTTTGGAAGCCAGGGGTGAACAAAATCGAGGTGCAGAGATCCTCCAGGGTCAGGGATCTCCAGGGTCAGAGATCTCTAGGGTCAGAGATCTCTAGGGCCAGAGATCTCTAGGGTCAGAGATCTCCAGGATCTCCAGAGTCAGGTTTAGAGCCAGAAAAGACAGAGATAGCTGGTTTAATGGCTAAATGAATGGCTATTTTCAAGCCAAACCTTTTCAGAACCAGAAACATTCATGATTTCAACATTTTCATACTTTTAGCTTAAACTCAGCTCAAGAGTGTATAGCATAAACTTTGATGCGAGAAATCTCGCGTTTGCGAGCTATTCAGCAGATTTTGATTACAGTTTCGGATTCCCCGTTCGATTTTCTATCGAATAAGCTAAGTCTCGTTTCGAAATCCCACGGTGACCAAGTACTTTTCCCCTAGTAAAGACCAATCGAAGTTTACAGTACTTTACAGTACTCTATAGTACTTTACAGTACTCTAAAGTATTTTACAGTACTTTACAGTGCTCTAAAGTACTTTACAGTACTTCTCATTGTCCCTATACTTGTAAATAAATAAAATCAAATTAGATAAGTACGGTAAAGTACGGTAAAGTACTCTACAGTACTTTACCGTAATTTACCGTAATTTACCGTACTCTACAGTACTTCTCATTGTCCCTATACTTGTAAATAAATAAAATCAAATTATTAGGTTGATGCATAAGTGTTTTTGTTCCTTTTCGTCTGCCGTTTGCAAGCCAACAAATGCACGAATTAAACTACGGTTGATTTCATTAGAAAAAGCAATTATTTTTCTGCAAAATAACATTAAAACGGGTTTAAAAATATTTAATGCCTGGATTTTCTTGAGAGTATGAAGTCGGGTAGTCAAAAAGGGCTAACTCGATGATGCGGTTTAGACACCTTAGCTAAAGAAAACCTATCTTCGTGTCAATAGATAAAAGATAGAGAAAAAAAACGTTTGATATTTCGCCAAAATTTCAGAGAAATTCATTCAGCCAATTTTTCCGTAGAGTTTTTTTATAGATTTTTACGAAAAAGGCGTTTTTCACTCTCGAATTTGCTTGAAAGTGAACCGAAATTCATTTAAAAAGATGCTAATTCAACAAAAAAACACTTTTTTTATAGAGCAAACTATAGATTAATTCGTGAATTTGTCACTTTTTAACAGAAGTACGAAAAAAACGAAAAGACTTATGCATCAACCTATTAGCATGAAATTAATAGTCCAAGAGACTCTGAAACATCATAACACTAGCGATGATGAACATAAACGGCTAGAGCTTTCAAGTGATCCGTAGTAGAAATAAAAAGTTAGTGAAAATGCTAAAAAAACAGGCCGTAAAAGGAAAAAAATTGTTATTTTTGGTTAAAATCAATTTTATAAACGCTATCGCAGGTTTCTATGCGTAAAGCTTTTAAAAAAATCGGATTCTCCGCCTTTTTTTTACCCTAAAAACACAAAAAGTGGACAGAAAAAGTTAAAAACAGCAAAGAAAAAGCAAAAGCAAAAATCTATAAAATAATTTTTTTTGCTCGTCGCTGTTTTGGGCGTTTTCGCATTGGCGCTGTTTTGGGTGGCGCTGTTTTGGGTACGGCGCTGTTTTGGCGGCGCTGTTTTGGGTGGCGCTGTTTTGGCGGCGCTGTTTTGGGATAGACCCCTAACTACGAGTGATCCTCTTTACACGTCGCGTAAATTGAATATCGTTACATGTGACGGGAATTTGTGCCACCAAATCAGTTAAACGGCTGAATATGTTTAAAGAGAGTCGTATATAAATGGGCGCTCGTGATTTTTTGCGCCAATTTTGCGCCAATTCTTTGCAATAATTTTTGCGCTAAAAGTACGGCAATTTTTCCTACCGTAAATACTGTAATAGTTAATGCTTTTACATTAAAGCTAACCGGAACACTGTTTTATGTCTAAAACAGCACGTTTTTAGGGTTCTTTTTTTTCTTTTCATTTTCACATAATGGTGAAACTGGCAAAACGCACTGACCGCTGGTGAAACGATTTGCTTGCGATCAAAAACGTTGCAAAGACCATTGTAATAAGAGCTAAGAATAGATTTTGATTTCGAATTTCAGCTAAATATTTTCGAAAGAAAAAACTAGAGTCTGTCAAAAAGTCTGTCAAAAAAAAGGTTGTTTATATCCAGAAATTCTTGATTACATTTTGACCTTTTCCAAAAAAGTGTCCTTTAGTGAATGGAAAAAATTGTCAAATTTCGAAAAAAAACACTCTTTTTGCCCTATTTTTGTTTCTCAATAGATTTCAATAGATTAAGAAAAGTCAGAAATAAGTCTATCAAAGTCTATCAAAGTCTATCTATCAGTCTATCAATTTCTATCAAAAAATCAAAGATTTCTAATCTTTTCAATGTTCTGTTGACTTTGAAATGAAAAGGAATTTCGAGAAACGGTGACATTTCAAGTAATTTAGAGAAGCCCAGTGATTTTACTGTACTTTGTGCTTTCGTATTCATAAATGCACACCATCTGGCAAAGCGAATTTCTCAGTTTGAAGATCTTTGAAGGAATAGAGAACAAGCGTGCTAAAAAGCGGGCGTTTGGAAAGCAAAAAGTACGCCAATTTTCGGGTCAAAGGAAAATCAGAGGAAATCAGCTGAAACTCATGTTCTGAAGCTGCATAGATCTCTAAAAATCGATGAATGCCAAAGAATCAAAATTCTGATCGCAACTGATCGAATGGAAACAAAAAAAAGCCTCTCAAAACCCAAAGACAAACATTGATCTTTTAGAAGAAAAGGATGAATCGAGTGGGGAAAAGAGTTCACTGTTTACAAGGAAAAGGAAGAGCTTCAGGAAAAGGAAGAGCTTCAGAAAATGGAAGAGCTTCAGGAAAAGGAAGAGCTTCAGGAAATGGAAGAGCTTCAGGAAAAGGAAGAGCTTCAGGAAAAGGAAGAGCTTCAGGAAAAGGAAGAGCTTCAGGAAAAGGAAGAGCTTCAGGAAATGGAAGAGCTTCAGGAAAAGGAAGAGCAGATATCAAAGGAATTTGTCCATTCACCCCTAAATGATATAAAAAGTAAAGAATTATAAAGAAAGATTTCCGGTGATGGGATTGAATCCTCGACCTTTTTGATTTCCATTTGCTTTCTAGGCTGATGCTCAGAGCTATTCGGTATCTGTTTGCCAGAGAAGAAAGAAGAAATAAGAAGGCGGAAGGGAAAAGAAGAAAGAGCTCAAAATACATAAACTGGATTGTAACTAGCCAAAAGAATTCGTTCAATGGTTGACTTTAAAACGGATCTCTCACAAAGGAAAGGTTGGCCTTTTGGAAAGGAAAGTTGGCCTTTTGTTGGCCTTTTGACTCGAGATCAACTCCATCTCATAGAATCGGCCATGGGGAACTCGAATCCGTCTTTAGTTTTTTGCAGAACGTCTTTAGTTTTTGCAGAATCTAAATTTCGAACTCCTTAAGAAGCCACCACACGACCGCGCAAGTGGTCACAGCACGACCAGCTGCTTCGATGGTCTAGTGGACAGTCTGCTAGACTACCAAATCAATTGCATTCTTTGCCCCAAGTTCGAGTCCTACTCTCGCCAAAAGCTTTTGCTCCTTTAAAAAAATGTTTTCCTACGTATTTGCAAATAGATGCAAATAGACAAATGAACAATAGAGTTAAATTTAGCTTTCAGAGTTAGTAGAATAATCTCAAGAATTCAAGAATAATAGAGTTGAATTTTTGGCCTATTTTTTGGCCTATATTTGGCAACAAATGTCAAATTTTTGAATACTTTACTGATTCTTTTACTTTAAAAAGTTTTCTATCAATTTCTCATACTGATTCTATAAATTATTTGTTGAATTTACAGAAAGCTTTTCTAAAACTCGAGTCAATAATTCAATACAAATATGTAGGGAAATTGTTTTTTAAAAAAGCAAAAAGGTTTGGTGAGAGTGGGACTCGAACTTGGGGCAATGAATGTAATAGGTTCCGTAGTCTAGCAGACTCTAGTCTAGCAGACTCTAGTCTAGCAGACTCTAGTCTAGCAGACTCTAGTCTAGCAGACTCTAGTCTAGCAGACTCTAGTCTAGCAGACTCTAGTCTAGCAGACTCTAGTCTAACAGACTCTAGTCTAACAGACTCTAGTCTAGCAGACTAGACCATCGAATCTGTTGTTAAGGGAGCCTTTGACGACTTCTTAAGGAGTCTGAGATTTTCTTCTTTTCTGCAAAAACTAAAAATGGATTCAAGATCCCCATGATCGACTCTATAAGCTGGACTTGGTCTTGAGGCAAAAGGCCAGCTTGACTCGGTGCTTTTCTTTTGTTAGATTACAGACTCAGAGATTTTGACCAAGCGCAAAACTAACTCTAACTTTATCGACCCCAAAAACTCACTTGAATGCAAACTTCCGGGTGATCCCCTTCCCACTTTTGCCGTTCTTCAAGAATTGCTTTACTTCATCCGGTGTTTTCGGTAGCTCTCTGGAAAATGGACTTTACAATGACGCACTTATTGAAGTAAAAACAATTCCCCAATGACTCACTTGTTGTAGTAAAAGCACTCTGTTTCGGCATACGGATTCGCGAATGGGATTTTTCTCTCATTATTGTTGTTGCACTTTAAGAGATCCGATGCGGCATAGTAAAGGGATGAGCTCTCATTGGATGAGGTGAGCTGAAGAGGAATGGGATAAAATATGAGCAATGCTTAAGCTTTTGTAGTTCAAATCTAATGGTGGTTAATCATTTATTTAATTTAATTTGTTAATCAATCATAACAATTCATTTATTATAAGGTTCTTCTGTAATTACTTTTAATTTCAATTTTAATTTCAATTTCTAACTTTAGCAAATCTTAGTCGATCTTTATCGATCTTAATCTATCTTTATCCATCTTAATCTATCTTTATCGATCAATTATCGAATTTACCTGATCCATACTAGTCTTGCAGATGATTGGCTGAGCGTAGACGGAGTCTTGACTCTTGTGTCGTCGAAATGATACCTCCAGTGGTCGTCCATTTTGTAGAATCGAAGAGGATTTGGAGTTCCATCGCGGACTATTCTCATAGTCGTGCGATAGCTAGAAAAAAAACAAAATTTAGGATATTTACATGGTGCGGCATATATACGACAATTAAACATAAAATCTACGCTTTATTTTACATAGAATAGAAGGACTGCAGCATTTTTTTAATGACTTTGACAACCCTAGCCAAGCAGTACAAAAAAAATGCGGCACGATGCTGAGAAACTTGTTAAATTCGAGTTTGGGATCTCGTAAATCGTCTTTTTTTCCGTCTTTTTCTACATTAATACGTTTTTAGAGTTAATTACTATAAAAGTAGTGCTTTCATTGCACTGTAACCGGTTCTAGTTTTAAAGCTTTAAAGGAGCTTTAAGGAAGCTCTAAAGGAGCTTAGGATTAATTAGGAACTATAAAGGAGCTTTAAGGGAGCTTAGAAGGAGCTTTAAGGGAGCTTTAAGGGAGTTTTAAAGGAGCTTTGAAGGAGCTTTAAGGGAGCTTTAAAGGAGCTTTAAGGGAGCTTTAAAGGAGCTTTAAAGGAGCTTTAAGGGAGCTTTAAAGGAGCTTTGAAGGAGCTTTGAAGGATCTTTAAGGGAGCTTTAAAGGAGCTTTAAAGGAGCTTTAAAGGAGCTTTAAGGGAGCTTTAAAGCAATTAAATACAGGAAAGATATGGCCCAAAAAAGCGAAGCTACAGGAAAGATATGGCCCAAAAAATGCGAGGCAAGGCGATGATTTGAGGTTTTGTCAAGGCTCGTTGATAAAATCAAGTTTGAGATAAGCCTTGGAGACAGAACTTTTCAAAAATGACCTTTTTTTGTTCTATTCCAAGCTTAGAGCATTTTAAACCAGCCTTAGCTCTTAATCTATCTCTTAATCTATCTCTTAAGCTCTTAATCTATCTCTTAATCTCTTAATAACGAGTTCCGATTGAAGAAACAAGTCAATTGAGCTCCTAATTGTTGTAGAAACTTCAAACTTTAAGTACTATTTTTATAGAAATTAAAAGAAATGGAATCTGATCGACAATTTTGATAGAAAACATCTACAATTTTGAAATCTGTGCCATTTCTCTTACCTGAAAATACTTTGGTTTCCCTTTCAGTTGAATCGGTGTCACTTTTGCGTGGTGTTGATGTTTCAAAGTTCCTCCATATGGCTGAAAATTTCGAAATCTTTGAGAGATGAAGCAAAAACAAGTGCTATTCAATGGTGAATGAGCTCTCAAAGCAGTCAAATTTGCTGAACTCCTCAAATTTTCAAATTTCGAGCGGATATTCGTGACTCACATTTGATCATCAGTGTCACTTTTCACAGACAAGAGTTTTTCTAGAGTCTTTTTCCCAAGTTCCTGATCATCATTTGGGGAAAAGGGGGAACCGTTATCGCTTTGGTTTCCCTTTTTGATCTAAGAAAAGAACTGGGATTGAAAATCCAAGAAAAGAAGTTACGGGTGGGTGTGGATGGATAGGGCAAAGGGGAATGGGGAGAGGAGGGGAGGGGAGGGGTAGGGGTAGAGGTAGAGGTAGAGGTTGGGGTAGGGGGTAGGGGTAGAGGTAGAGGTAGAGGTTGGGGTAGGGGTAGGGGTAGAGGTAGAGGTAGAGGTTGGGGTAGGGGTAGGGGTAGAGGTAGGGGTAGGGGTAGGGGTAGGGGTAGGGGTAGGGGTAGAGGTATGGGTAGCTGTATGGGTAGGGGCAAGGATAGGAGCAAGGCTGGGGTAGGGGTGTGGGGTTCTCGATCGCTCAATCCATCCAATCTCTCCAATTTCCAATTTTTTCCCCTATAAAAGGTGGCACCTAGTGTTTCAAACTCAACCCGGAATCGACTCTCATTCCACTCCCCCAAAAAAAACCCTCCTACAATGCTCCCGATCGTTCTTGTCGCCCTCGTTGGAGCAACTTTGTAAGTTTTCTTGATTTACCTTTAAACATTTTCAAGATTCTTTTCAAGTTTACCTTAAACTTCTTCAAGTTTCTTGCCTAACTACCTAGCCAAGCAATAACTAAATACCTTTCTTTCATTCAATAGCTAAACTTTTGACTTTTAGCTACTGTAGTGGAGTCTGGAGTTTACAGTAACAGTGACGGTAATTGTGATGTACTTATTGCAAGCTTTGCAGTTTAAAACTATCAGAATTGGATCGGCTCTTGGGTAGTTTACGGGACTTTTGAAAGTTTAGAGGACTTTTGGGAGTTTAGGAGACTTTTGGGAGTTTAGGGGACTTTTGAATGGTTAGCCAAACTCTAAATGTCTATAACTTACGATAGAGGCAATATAATCGTCTACTTTTGATAGATTTTAAAAGAACACATTCTAAGCTTTCAAATGAGACCAAATGGAGCTAGATTGAATATATCAGTCTCGAGAAAATCGAATTACTAGCGACACAACGAGTCGTTGTGTCACTAGTAATTCGATTTTTGATCCAATCTAGCTCCAATCTAGCTCCATTTGGCCGCCTTTGAACGCCTAGAATGTGCTCTTTTAAAATGTATAAAAAATAGACAAATCTGTTGTCTCTGTCGTAAATTATAGACATTTAGAGTTTGACTAACCATTCAAAAGTCCCCTAAACTTTCAAAAGTCCTCTAAACTTTCAAAAGTCCCCTAAAGTCCCAAAAGTCACCTAAACTTTCAAAAGTCCCTTAAACTCTCAAAAGCCACCTAAACTTTCAAGAGTCCCCTAAACTTTCAAAAGTCCTCTGAACTTTCAAAAGTCCCCTAAACTTTCAAAAGTCCCCTAAACTTTCAAAAGTCCCGTAAAGTAAACCCAAGAGCCATTTGATCTTTACAAATCTTTGCAACCTTTACAATCTTTTACAATCTTCTAGGGCTATCGATGATCAATCGAAATTCGCCGCCGACATGCCAGGCCCAATGGGATTCAATCCATCACTTGGTGGAGGATCCCTTCCTGGACCCGGTGGAAACTTCGGTGGACCCCAACAAGACCAATTCGGCGGAAATGGACCAGTTGGACCAATTGGCGGAGGAATGGGTGGTAATCTGGGACCAATCGGTGGAATTGGTAGCGGAGTGAACCCCGGATTTGGTGGAATTGGTAGCGGAGTGAACCCCGGACTTGGTGGAATTGGTAGCGGAGTGAACCCCGGACTTGGTGGAATTGGTGTAGGGCCAATCGGTGGCCAACTCGGCGGTGGGAACTTCGGCCCAGTTGGACCCGGCGGAAACTACGGCGGAAGTGGTGGTTACAACAAGTACGGCAACAACAACTACGGTGGAAACAGCTACGGACCCCAGCTTGGCAGCTACAGCCCACCAGTGAACACCTATGGCCAAGGAGGGTACAGAAGACCCAGCTATGGACGTAAATAAGTATTTATTCGTTGTTTTTTTTGCAAATTTTATGATTCGATCTCGATACGAGGTAGCTCTCAGATTGGGAGCCTGATAAATATTCTGGTGAAAAGTTGGTGAAAAGGCAATTGATAGAGGATAAAGATAAAGGATTTGGTAACGATTCGGTGAAATAATGAAACCGGACTTTGGTAGCTATTCGGATTTTGGTAGCTCCACCAAGTTTATAGACTTTATAGAGCTTTTATTTGACAAAGTATACCTTTTGACTTTTCCTGGCACCGCTTTGAACAGCTTAAAAAGTTGGCAGCTAAAAAGTTGGCAGTTTAAAAGGTGGAAAGTTAACAAGTTAGAAAGTAGTTGGTAGCAATCAAAATTGTGTGATCAATATTTTAGAGCTTGATTAAAGCATTTCAAAGATGCCTAAAAATCTATATTTCCGTAGACTTTGCAAAATTAAAGAAATTTGAAGTCCGGTTTCATGAAGTTTCATGAAGTTTCATGAAATCCGATCTCATTGTTGTCATTCTAATATTATAGTTCGGTAGGCATGCTAGAGTGAATCGAAAATAGCAATAGACAAAACACTAGACAAAACTGACAAGATCTTTTGGATTGGAGGAGAATTTGAGAAAGCTATGGCTTAGGCAAGGTTAGACAAGGTTAGACAGACAAGGTTAGACAAGGTTCTCTTGTACAAGACAAATACAGTAGGCTTTATGCCAGATTTTACTATAGACGCTCTAATATTTACTGGGTTACAAGTACTGTACATACTGTATGTACATGCATACTATACGTACACACTGTACGTACATACATACTGTACGTACAAGATACTGTACGTACATACATACTCCACGTACATACATACTGTACGTACAAGATACTGTACGTACATACAGTACTATAGTACATAAATCTATTGTACAATCAAGTGCATGGAGGCTATAGACAATCAATGTCAAAGTACATGGAGGTCCACTGGCTGGCTACTTTGGCATAAAGCCTACCGTATTTGTAGAGTAAGCTTGTACAAGAGAACCTTGTCTAAGCTAAAGCCACAGCTTGCTCAAATTCTCCTCCAATCCAATAGATCGTGTTAGTTTTGTCTAGTGCTTTTTTTTTGTAAATATAACTGATTTCTTTGATCAAATTCGATAAATGCCATGTTAAGGCTAAAGCTTGCACCTCTGAGCTAGAAAAGCTGAATTTTTAAAGTCAGTAATGATTTCTGCAAACATCCTGTACTCCGAAGAACAATCAGCATCCATTCACTTCGCTCATTCACTCAAAACAGTCATTCACTCACAACAGTCATTCACTCACAACAGTCATTCACTTCCGTGTCATTTTTCCCACTTCCTAATCAAATATCAATTTCGAAATTTGTTTCCCGAAAAATCTTATCAATATCTAGACATTTTTGATTAGAAAAACCCAAATCTCTCTCATTTTTTAGGGAAAATCTTCGACTGTGCATTCGGCCCACAGTCGGGTGGAAAGTCAAGGTCAAAAAGGGCTCTACTCATGCAATTCGCGCACTAAATCTCAGCTATCCAAGCAAGAATGTGAAAAACTTTCAAGAAATCTTGAAAATGGATTAGAAAAGGATTCGAAAAGGATTAGAAAAAGGATTAGAAAAGTTTGCGGAAAGAAAATGAGTGAAATGAATTTTTTACGATGAGCTGCCACTCATTTACAACACGAAACTAGAAGTTTCGTCTCACAAGTTGACTCACTTGCCTCAATAGTACATACTGTACTGTACATAGTGTACAACTAACGATACTCTAGACAGTTAAAGATACTGTAGACGGTTAGGAATGCTGTAGAGTCTCAATATCATCTTATATTCAACTCGTAAGACTGAATGCTTGTAGAAATTCTTTGATGTTTAGTATTAGAGTGGGAATGGAAGCAGCATATCTTTCCAAAAATAAAAAGATTCCAAGCCTCAGCCAATAAGTGTTGGAAAGTCCAGAATCTCCTCTACAAAATAGTGTTTAAAAGATTTTGAATTGAATTGATTATTGAGGACTTGGGTGACTTTTAAGTTGAAAGGTCAAAAATGAACCTTTTCTGGAAAATTTCTTTCTAATAATAGCCATGCCCAGGTTCTCCGTTAGAAAATACCGAGAATTAAAGTTATTAAAGAGTGAAATAAAAGAAAAGGACTCTAGAGCTCTAGAAAAGAACCCTAGAACTTTGTCTTCTAGAGCTAAATGCTTGTTTTTCGAAGAAGCTCCATTTTAGGTACTCTCAACTTTAAATTCTCATATCTCGATAGAATCTAAGCTAGTCGTTTAAGCTTTAGTATAAATATTGAGCAATGTTTATCCTTAATATACTCGAAAAATTTCAGGAGGAAACATCCGTGGAAGCGATAGTTACCAGCAGGCGCAGGTACTCAGGTTGAGACTCGACCTGCGATTACTTTTTAACACTCAAGTCCCCAATAATGAATCTAATTCAAAGTCTTTTTGCGCTATTTGGTAGAGGAGATTGAAGGCTTTCGAACAATGCACAACACTTATTGGATGAGCCTTGAAATCTTTTTATTTTGAGCAAAATATGTGAGCGCTAGTTTCATTCCTATCACCCTAATAAATAACTTTTCAAATGAAATAGCAAAAGACTTATCGGCTAAACTAATCGTTAACAAAAATGGATTTTTTTTTTCATATAAACGCTAATTTCTAATCCTATTACCCTAATATTTTATTTGAATATCAATTTGAAATTTCGTTTTTCGGCCACTCTAATGGGATTCCATTTTCACGGCGCCACTCCTGAGACATTCTTTCCCACAATGGTTGCCTCAGCTCATGGGCTTTGGTATAAAATGGGAGTCAGTATGCAAAAGATTCTGGTTAGCCATGGAACTGGATTTGTTTCAGCAATAGACATTTTTCAGCTTATCGGTGGAATCTTCGTGATGACAATGCTTAAAAGAAAAAATTTTGGAGCTTTAGAAAAGGGCCTTTAGAAAAGGGCCTTTTCGAAAACGCGTTTAGAAATGAGCACTTTTTAGGAAACATGATTTGAACGATTTGATTTGATGAGAGCACAATCTTCTTCTCTTCTGATCGATCTTCAGATATTCTACATCTTATCACAATATTTTTATTACACACAGAAGCTAATAAGAAAAGAAACTAAATTTATAGTAACTCTTTAGACGAATTACTGCTACATTTTAGCAAACTGCTTTTATTTTTAAAGCGTGAATCTAAAAGAGATTTTGCACGTGCGTAAACAAAGATTGCTTACTAAAATACTAAAAGTTACTTATAATTTAACGTAAATATTGTAATAGAACGCCATCTTCTCGTACAATCGCGTTGTCTAACTTCTTTTTAGAAAATGATGTTTTTCTCAGCTCCTAGATTTTCCTCAACTACACTTTTGGTACCGAAAAATACTAGATTTCAAGGGCTATCATTTGACATTAAAGCGAACACTGTAGCATAAAGCAACGCGGAGAAAAGGACATTCAAAGTTAGACTACGCGGCTATACACCTGTCATTATTGGAGTGGCGTTCTGTTAGAGTATTTACGGTATTTCCAATCTCAATCCGATCAAATCATTCTCAAACTAACTTTAAAAGAAACGGATCTAAACGTTTAAACTATCCTTGATCCAATCTTTTTTCCAATCTTTTTCCCAAACGAAAGTGAAAACGGAAACTTTCCCCGATTTATCGAAAAATGTCAAGTTCGAAAGTTTGAGTCAGCCGATCGGCTCTTTTAATTTCATTTCTCTCGGAGGGTTGATCCCAAGTTTCCCAAATTAAGTACATCAATACATCAACCCGCCGAAAATGGCACCACAGTTCAACTCTAGCTAAATGTGTTTGAAATTAGCGAAAACAATGCTGAAATCACAACAAAGCAGATCAAATCCAGCAGATACACTCACGCAATCGACAAAAACGCAGTGTCACAGTTTTTTTTTTAAAAGCTCAATTCAGCGAGCTCTCGATCTTAATCTAGATCTTTTCGCTTTTTTTCAATGATTTTCAATGATAATCTTTTTCAAGGCTGATAGCCATTGAGGGGATATAAAAACGTTTAAAGAACCGACTTTCTCCGAGCGTCTCCACAAAATACAGTAAGATGAAGTGTCTGTTAGCTGTTCTCTTTGCCGTTCTTCTTGCCATTGCCAGGTATTATTAATTATCTTTGGTTAGATGAGTTTATATTACTTTAAAAGAATATAGAATATTTTAAAGCTTGTTTTGAAATTGTAATTTGATAATATTAAGACAACATCGTGCAAATACTTAATCCATCCACCCAATTCTTGCTGAAGAATTCAAATCAAATTCAATTCTAATTCAATTCTAATTTCAATCCAATCAAATTCAGTGCCGCTCCACAAAGGACAATCATCCAGAAGACGATAATCACAAGACCCGGCTTTGGAAATGGATTTGGTCAAAGCCGCAATCAATTCGGTCAACCGGGTTTCAATCAAGGTTTTGGACCCGGTGGATTTGGAAATGGATTCAACCGAGGTGGCGGTTTCAATCGAGGTTTGTATTAGATACAATCTGACTAGGGAACTGCTTCAAACTTAGCATCGATGGGATATGGGACCTAGGGTAGAAAGGCTATCTTGAAATTCTAACTAGGGAACTGTTTCAACTTCAACTTCGAAGCCAAATTGAACCCGCGAGCAGAAATGGCATAATTTCGTAGAGTAGCGCATAGTTTCGTAGACTATTCCCTAGGTTTTCTTTAAAAAGGAGTCATATCAAAGTCATAATCAAAAAGGCAACGCTCGTATATAAGCCGATGCTCGTGTTTTTTCAAGCCGATTTTTTGCAATATGGAACTGTTTCAACTTACCACCGGTTTTCGAAACCTGGAAGCGGAGTTGAACAGCGGAAATGGTATAGTTTTGTAGACTAGCGCACTATCCCCTAGGCTACCACCGCTCTTTCTTTCTTCCCACCCTTTCTTTCTTTCTTCCCCTTATAGGCGAGGTGACAGTAGCATCTAGTTTTTGAGAAAAATGCTTTACCAGTTTGGCTCCTTTTCGGGAAACGGCTCCACCGCGTTGTAACGCTGAATTATCTCGCCCTGATCAGTGACTGAGTGGTGTAGCCTCCCTGGCCCCTGGCTTTTCCTGGTTCGAATCCCCTCACTGTCAGAACTCTTTTGCTGCTTTTTAAAGCACTAAAAGCAACATTTAAGTGTTTTAAAGTGTCTTTAAACAGTAAGAAGCTAAATAGGGCTCCTGAAAATGGCAAAAGATGTTCCCTAGTATTCCCCTGTTCCCTAGTGTTCCCCTGTTCCCTAGTGTTCCTCTGTTCCCTAGTGTTCCCCTGTTCCCTAGTGATGTTCCTTCAGCAGTTCCCTAGTGAACTTTTGAAACAAAGACCTTCATTTTCATTT